TGTGTGTGTGTGTGTGTGTGTGTGTGTGTGTGTGTGTGTGAGTGAGTGTGAGTGTGTGTATGTGAGTGTGTGTGTGTGTGTGTGTGTGTTGTGTGTGTGAAGCGTGCGGTGGAGCGTGGAGTGTGTCTCAGTGCAGCAGTGTGTCCTGCTGAGGGAGTCAGGCGTTTGTAAAGGGTTTTGTCAGGATCAGGGGGCCGGATGTGAAGGGTTTATATTATAGGAAAGAGCTGCACCCCTCCTCTTTGTCTGGCGCTCTCTGTGTTTGGGGTTTTGAGTAGGGGGTGTAGATCCACAGCTCATATATTGTCTGCATGAATGCCCAGCACTGCGTCTGATTGTGTGTGCTGTCCTGGTTAGTGCTGTAATTTAACCACCCGTGAAGGACACGGAGGCAGGTGATGTCCAGTTATCATCTCTGAAATAATAACACTCATTCTGACTTTATAAACCAGTTTATAGACCAGTAATTTCTGACATTTATAAGTGAAACCTAATAAAAAAATGGCAATCTGATAAAATAATGATTTAAAAAAGATTGTGGCTGAGATTTGTAATTGGTTCATTCACACACTGGCTCTGCAATGCACTGTGGGATACATACTAAGTGTGCTTTACATATTTTGCACATTTTGGCTTTAAAGCAGGGTTGTTAAAGTGAACTAAAAACAAACTATAAAAAAAAAAATCGTAACTTGAGTTGAAATAAAATAAACATAGAAATTAAAAAATATATTTTTTTAAATTAATTATTTTATTTCAGCTAGATGCCAAGACAAAATGTCTCATTTTCATTTAGCTTAACTTGAACTACTAAAATAACAGGACCATCCTATATGCAGTAGTTTTTTATTTTATTTTATTTTTTATGGGGTAAGGTTTTACAGATATTTTTATAGTTTTTAAGTTGTATTTATTGTTGTTAATTAAATGGACATTGTTGAAAAACTACAAAAATTAGTTGAGCAGCTCCTCAAACAATGACAATATGTGACAGTCAAATAAAATTATAAACTAAATAAACTAAAACTAATGAGTAAAAATTTATTTAAAAAAAAACATAATAAATAAAAACCCACAAAATTACTAAAACTTAAACTATAGTTTAAAAGAAAACAGAAAAAAAATAAAATGAAATGTAATTCAAAATATTTAAAAAAAGTATTATTTTGTATTAATTATGCTAAAGTAACACTGGCTTACAAATATTTACAGTTTACAGAAACAGAGTGTGTGTGTGTGTGTGTGTGTGTGTGTGTGTGTGAGTGTGTGTGTG